TATAGTGTGTGTGTTATGTTTATGTTTATATTTATTAGTTATAATGAGTGATTATTTTTTTCTCCCAGTGATGGCAAGCAACAGTGGCATATTCTCTTAGTCACATACACAGCAGCTTTTTTTTTTTAAAATCAGTTATATTATCAGGCAGATTATAGAATTTTGTTCTTACAATTCTGACAGTTAAAGGAATTTAAATTGTTCATCCCAAAATACATCCTTATGTTATTCCCAACCTGCATTCTTTTTGTAAAACACAGATGTTAGGCACCGACAGGCCTTAGTCAACCTTCACATTTATGGTTTCATTTGAAATGTTTCTTCTTAGTATTTCCTTTTGTGTTTTACAGAAGAAAGAAAGACCGGTTTGAAACAACGTGACGGTGAGTAAATGATAACAGACTTTCACTTTTGGGTGAACTATCCCTTAAATGTTTTTTTTTGTATAATGTCCTTGTTAACAAAACTGTGGTTTACAAGAGAGGAACTTGAACTACAATAGTCTGGCACACATAGAGACTATATAGAATCTGTTCATCTGGAAGTGTAGACACTGTATTGACTGTTGATCAGCTTTTCAAAAGCTATTTTGTTTGTACACAAGATTGCTGACTATTGTGTATAGGACAGTATTCACACTCTCATATGGCCTTTTAAAGTCCTCAATGTTTAGGTTTCGTGAAGATAATAATTTGAAACCTCTTGTGGATTCTTCACCATTTATGGATACTGTGTTTATTGCTGAAAGAATGTTAAAGAGTTTGAATTCAACAGTTCATCACTGCACGCATGTTATATGTGTAGCAAATAAGGACAGCTGACCTTTTCCCAGAAGAGACACATTAAGATTACTAATAATTTCTGCGATAATAGGGACAACATGATCTGTAGCTCTCTAGGTGAACATTCGCATTATCTTCCTCAATATGCACTAACTGCTATTTAGTATGTGCGCCGCTAATAGATATTTTAATAATTCATCAGTATGTATTGTAAATTATTAAACTCCCTGTATGGTCATTGGTGCCGTTGAACCTAACCTAGCTTAAAGCCATTCATCCTGACAGAAGTCAGATTGATAATTTAGGTTAAACGTAGGTGGGTTATAAGTCTATGTGTCATGCAACAAATAACATGCATTTGGCTAATATTTAGACTAAAGTCAATATAAGCTGTTATCACTGCAAATGGCCCCTAAAATTCAGAGAACAGTAAACGCCACTCAGTTTACAGAGGAGTTCATTAGCTAGACCACACAATATTGATGCCGGGGTAGCATATGAACTCCATTTCTATTCGTCTATGTTTTCAAGAATCAGCAGAATTAGATTGAAGACTGCATCTCTGCTGTCCCAGAGGCATATTATGCTGTTGTCCCTTGACTGCAGTAACCATTGTTCTAATGTACATAATTGGCAATTGAATAGATTCAGAGCATTAAAAGCTGCTTATTTGCCTCTTGCAATGTAAAGAATGCTTCGAACCTGGTAATATGAGCTCCAAATGCACTGATTGAATGGTTGCAATATATAACCAGATTTATTAACCCATTTCGTAGGTTTGTAATTGTTTTGAAATAATGGGCTTTTCAAAGCATACGGCTGCTTATTGCTATCACTTTATGCATAGACATGATTAAAAGGAATGTTCCAAACAGTCGTAGTTTGAAACGCACATAGTGTGTTTTTTTTTAATGGTTTCAGCTATATCCACTTGAAATTACATGAACTTATAGCCATGTTGTTGTGTTTTATCAGCATGCAACATAAGCCTAATCAACCCCAGCAACCTTGTGATAAGCTTAGCTTATGGCCAAAAGGTCTCCAACCGGGAGCAGATGTTCAAAAGCTTATATCAAAGCTCAAGCTAAAGTGTTCGTTTAGACAGATTGGATTTGCAGAGGTGGGGAGGGGTTGGAGATGTTGGCTTTGTGATTTCGGCAGGATTTGGACCATCAGCGGACATGCCTGGAGGATGACAGTAGCTGTCTGCGAGCTGAGATCCAGGAGCTGAAAACCAACTTTAGACCCCTCACATAAGTGATCCATCGTGCTCAACACATGCTCGGCCTGGATGTGAGTCACATGCCTATATTCCCTTGCCTCGTTCTCTCACACACACTCACTCACTCGCTCACACGCTCTCCATTTTCTCCCTCACCCCAAAGTCATGGGACGGTCCCTCATTCATTTTTCAAAACTCATTTTCTGCCCTTGAGCTCAGGATTTTTAATTCTGGCTTCACCTTGACTGGTGGCCTTTGGGCATGAGGGATCAACGGAGCCAGGCTTTGATCCAACACGCCGGCATGGGACTCATTTCCAGCTCTGCCACACTGATGCGACTCAGTGGGTTCGACTTGACCTCGTGGCTCCTCTGGGCCCCTCTGGCCGCAGTCGACGAGACCCAGCTCCCTCTTCCTCTCCATCCTGAACACCTCCAATAACTCGTTCTAATCAAACCGCTCTGCTCTCCGCAGCCCTGCCTTTGATCTGCATAATATGCCTCCTCCACCTCTTCATCTCCCTTCTCCTTTTATCACATCATGTGTGAATGCAGAACATCAGTGAAATGTTGTAGAAGGTTAGTATAAATGTTCACGTACAGCAGGTCTAGTGAAAATGGGTTGAAGGTCTGTTCGGATTGCAAACACCAGGAAAAAAAATGCAAATAGCAAAATGCAACTAACCAGATGCTTCTACATATTTAGCATATAAAAATTGTTTTATGTTTATATTTTAATTTTAACAGGCAGACAAAACATTGTTTTATTGTTTTTAAGGCTGTGAGTCCAGTAATACTTGAGAGACAGCTTGCAGTTCTTGGTAATGTTAACACAATGCAAAATATGAATTATGATATAACCATAATATAATTCATTCATTCATTTACTACTACTACTACTAATTTAGGTCAATTATTATTAATAGAAAATGAAATGTAATTTCATAATTTACATTTTATTCATTAATTTATTTCAGTGTATATATTATTTATTTATTTAAATTTATTTAATCTAATATTTGTGACCCTGGACCACAAAACTAGTCATAAGTAGCACGGGTGTATTTGTAGCAATAACCAAAATGTAAATAACCAAAATAAATCAAAATGATCGAATTTTGTTTTATGCCAAAAATCAATATTAAGTAAAGATCATGTTCCATGAAGATATTTTGTAAATTTCTACCGTAAATATATCAAAACTTAATATTTGACTAGTAATATGCATTGATAAGGACTTAATTTGGACAACTTTGAAGGCGATTTTCTCAATATTTTGATTTTTTTGCACCCTCACATTCCAGATTTTTAAAAATAGTTGTATCTATAGTGTCCTATCGTAACAAGCCATACATCAATGGAAAGCTTTTATTTATTCAGCTTTCGGATCATGCATACACCTCAATTAAAAAAAAATGACCCTTATAACTGGTTTTGTGGTCCAGTCTCACATTATTATTTCAATTTAACAAATTAATACATTTATATTTATTTATTGTATTATTATTATTATTTAAATTCAAGTGTAATTTTTTTCATTTACATTTAAATTATATCAATTCTTTATTTTTTAAATGTTTGTTTTTATTTATTTAAATTTGTAAATATTTATTATTATTTAAATTTAACATATTTTTATTGTTTATTTTTGTTTTATTTAAATTTAACATTAAAAAAAAAAATGTAATTATTTAATTTTTTATCAATATTTAAATTTAAGCCCATTTTTTATTTTTGATTTTATTTACATTTCATTAATTCTAATTTATTTATTATAAATTATATTTATTTAATGTATTATTTATTATTAAATTAATTATTATTAGAAGTAGTATTATTATTCATAATTGTATCATTTAAATTTATTTAAACTATATTATTGATTCAATTTATGTAATATTATTTATTTTATATATATATATATAAAAAAAAAATTTATTTTTTTTTTATATTCATTCATATGTATTAAATTGATTATTTAAATTAATTAACTTTTTTCAATTTAAATTTTTATTTAATAATTTTTGTGTTTGTATTGATGTCCAATATAAATTCTGCTACCTGAAAAAACAAAAACAATTGGGAACTACTGATCCAAAATGCCTTTGCTGTGTGGGGTTTGTTCTTGACAGGTTCGCCATAGTCTCCTGTGTACAACGTGCCCATGCCAAGATCCTGCTGCTGTACCTTTAGCCGTGACAAGTCGGCCTGTGCGCTAGCTGTGCCCATGGGGCATCATCGGTCATAACAAGAGTCGGTGTGCCCGCTTCAGCGCAACCCCATTGTGGTGTTGGAGGATAATAACACTCTGCTTCCTTTTGTCAGTGTGTTTTGCTGGATGATAAACACAGGGGAGGAAGGACTGGCAGAGGAGCTCAAGCTCAAAGAGGTGAGTTTGTGAAATCACAGCACAGAAGAAGGTGCAGTTGCCTGGTGTGTGCACTAATTGAAGCTCCTCCAGGCAACAGCCGCAGCAAACCCGAGCCTGTCGAGCAGCATCGGCAGGAGTGATGACTGGTTGTTCGGGGAAGGGTCTCTCAGGTCACTGTCGGAGGTTATGTTAATTCGGTTGTTAATGACTTCCTTTTTGGGTGATAATTGATCAGCTTCATTACCATATTCCTCTGTAATGCTATATCACTAGGGCAAAGCTCTGTCTAATGAATGCTCCGTTTGATTTCTGAAATAATGAACTAATTAGACTAATTAAAATCAATAGAGGTGCCAATACAAGGTTAGGCATCAGACGGCGGTCTCTATCTGTGCACTGCCCGAGTCACCAGCTCAGTTTAAAGGAACCTAATGCTGATTTATGGGCTCTTGATGGTCATTAGTTAGAATAAATTGCGTCGAGGAGCCAAGACAGCATTATTCAAGTACAGGATACTAAGTGCATTGTAAGGTCAGCAATAAGGGCAAACTCTTAATTTCAGCCTCTTCTGATTTATCTGAATAACTAAAACAGACACATTTATATTTAGTTTTTTTGTCATGTCTAGGAAATGCGGTGTGTATGTTGCTTGTTCAGGAAATGACATCTGTGGCGTGCTGCCTTTGTAAATCCTTCCGATTTTTACTGTCCTTTTGCGCTTGAGTGTGAAAAGACTGTTTATTCAAAGTCTTTTTTATTTTTATTTACTTTTCATTATTTGTAGTATTCACGGAAAGAGCACAGATCTTTCGTATTTAGTTACCTGTGGTTGCGATACGGCTTATGAGAATAATAGTATTTGCTGTTTGGAGCTGTAAAGAAGATTATTCAAAAAACTGTCATGCATCTCATGTCCTGGGTCAAAGGGAAATTAATAATTACAATCGATCTCCAAATATCCGTGTTTTGACTGCATTTATTGTATTGCTGTCTGAAAGAACAATGACAG